GGGCGGGAGATGGCTGGGATTCGTGACAATGACGGCCGGCCCAGCAGGTCTCGTGTCGCCACAGGAAGGCGGTTTTGTCGTGCCTTTGCAGGTTTTCAGGACAGCGGGAGAGAGACACGGAGCAGAGAGGTGGGGCGAATGAGAGAGGCGAGCACGGGAGAGAGACACAGAGAGAGGTGGGGGCGGTTGAGAGAGAAATACAGAGGGAGAGAGTGAGAGAACGATAGAGAGAGAGAAAAAGAAAGAGAGCGGAGAGAGAGGAGAGAGAGAGAGAGAGAGAGAGAGAGAGAGAGAGAGAGAGAGAGAGAGAGAGAGAGAGAGAGAGACAGACAGAGATAGAGCGCAAGCGAGAGAGATAGCATGCGCCGTAAAACAGGCGTCGGTATTAGAGGGACGTTGAGATGACACAGCTACCCACCGCGCGCGCATCTTATAAATAGCGGGGCTTTACGAACGAAACCTAGACTGACACCAGGCGTCCTTGCCCCATGATGACCGAATCCATAGGCTAGCGGGGACACGTGGATATCCACCGATTCACGCGTGTCAGTCTACAGCGTAGACAGCCGCCGTAACAATGACCCGCAGATTACGTGTTGTCTAGATGGGGTGGATAGATGGTCACCGGTAGCGCGTGATTTGTGCTGCGTCGTGGCGTTACCCAACCTGTTGTTCACATGCATGAGGAATGTGGTGAGAGGCTGGCGTAGTGTAGCGTCTCTGCGTGGAATCTCCCGCTGTAGAGGCCACGGCGGCGGAACGGATTTTTGAACATGATGCGGACTGACGTGCCAGCGTAGAACTGCATTAACGTTCAGATAGTGTAGCATTGTCGACGCGTTTTAGTCGCTTTGAGAAAATAACAATACTGATACTTTAATCAGCCGGTGTGCCTGCCAGGCTGATCGGCTGGTAGGATCGGTGGGTGGTGGGTGCGGGTGGTGAGTGTAGACACAGTAACGGTACCAGGTAAGCAGGAAGCTACAGAACAAACAAACACCTTATGGATGGTACGTGTTCATCAGGGAGGATTGAGATATAGCTCTACCTGTGTGTCCATTCATTTCCGTCACAGACCTAGCTCGCTATATATCTATGTATTCCTGTCGCTTCGTCGCAGAGTCACAGGCTAGCTCTAACTATGTAAACGCTTCGCTCTGCGGCAGCATAGCTACACCTATATGTCTGTTCACTCCGTCAGAGAACCAAATATATATTTAATATATATATATTACTATAGAAGAAGCCTCGCTCTCGCTCTCGCTCTCGCTCTCGCTCTGTCTCTCTGACTCTCTGTCTCTCTGTCTCTCTCTCTCTCTCGCTCTGTCTCTCTCTCTCTCTATTTCTCTCATTCTCTCTTCAAACACGCCTGCTTCACAGTTTATGTAAATGTTACTGACATGTTAAACATAAATACGCACGTGATCTTTGCACAATCACAGTACATGTCGATTTTACCATATTCTCGTGATTACTGCACAATAATACGATACGGTATGATGACGGTAGTGAATTCAGTTAATTAAACTAGAAAAGGCTTAATGTTTCCAGATTTGCCCCCACTCGTTCTATCACCAAATTCCTCAGTGTGCTGAGCGTTGAAATCCGAATCTAAAGCTAATCACATATATATGTCACCAGGAGTGTCCTAATATAGACATCTATATTATGACACTCCTGGTGACATCATTACGTCTACGGGGACAACAGGACTTCATACAACGACGCCACGATCGGGGAACTCGCAGTGACGGGTACAACTAACAGTGCCGATTTATTCGGTGTCAGACGAGCTGGTAATAAATAGCAATAGCGCATGGCCACCACAGGAGAGACGCGACCACGCGAGCTAGCATGAATGGTGGCATTGTACGCCATCTCTAACCACCATCCCGGCCTCAACCACCGCCGGATACTTGCGTAAAGGCTGCTGGCCGCAACAGCACGTCAATGGAAGCGCGGCGGCAGAAAGGCAATAATTGACCAATACTTCTAATCTAGGGTCACTCCTGAAGTGACGACTTCCTCCTTAGGAACCCTAGCTCCCAGGACTACGGCCCCTTTATATTGAGAAACTCAGGGGCCCCTGTAAATATAGGGACCGAAGCCAAACTGGTAAAGTGGGACCAGTCTATGTAAAGTGACGCTAGGTGCGATGAGTGGCGTTAGTTAGCGGACACGGCTGACAAGCGCGAGAAAGAGGAACGAGTGCCAAAAAAACGCGTCGAAAAAAGATCAAGGGAAAATGGATTTCCCGCGAGGGGGAAGTCGTTTTAGCAGCAGAACTATAGCCGCCTAGCTCGGTGACGGACAGGTGTATGCGACTTCATTAATTAGCGACAGGTGCGTGCACCTGTGTGAGCGCACGCTGATTTACCGCAAACAAACAAACGCACCGTGAAAACGCACCGTGAAGGCTAGCTTACACGCATACACGCTTAGTACACGTATGTACACGCGATCACGCACGAAACCAACACTTGAAGGGCGCGATATCAAAAACCTGTGATGATGGGGTTGATTGGGTAAGCATGGCTCGTCTCGGTCGCACTATAATTACGAATAGAATGCTCGCTCGACGTGTGAACAAATATTAAAGATAAATTTGCAATAGACAAACCTGGTACTTGCATTATGCACCTAAGGACATCTGCGTGTCTGTGATAGTCTATACTATGATATCAATTCGAGATATTTCGCTATTTGTTTGTAAGTGTCAATGAATCATCCACATCCACACAATAAAGGACTGATATATAAAAGAATGTATATATATATATATAAAATATTATAAATGGGTATATATTTATAGAATATACTATATATATATAGTATATATATATTATATAGTATATATAAATAGTATATATTATATGAGCGGATAATTCAGCTATGGTCGGCCCAGACCGGACATGAAGCATGTTATTTTCAAATGGTCAATTCACATATACTCACATGTTCTAAAAGCATAAACCATTAAACCTTCTTAGGTCATTATAGGTGAGAACATAGTGGTACAAGGATTTGGCAGGAAATAGGTGTCGAAAATGTCTACTTAGCATGTGTTGTGTTCATAACATGGTGTGCGCATTAAAAGCTATAGTAGAAAATCAATTAGGCTTATATTTACCGCCAATAC